GTGTGTGTGTGTGTGTGTGTGTGTGTGTGTGTGTGTGTGTGTGTGTGTACAGATAAATGTCTGTTCATTTGTTATCAAAGTATCTCTTGAAGCCCTGCACAGATTTTAATGAAACTCTCAGAACATAATCAATAGATGTACATCTACATCTGATTACCTTTTGAAGTCAACCCAATTTAAGAAGCCAGCGCATCACAACACAAACAATAGCTATAACTCAGTCAGTTTTACAGATAAATTGGATGTGGTGAGAGCTGAGAGTTGCATGGTAATATGCCAGTGTAGATTCTTAGTGATCCAGGACATGGTGAATAGAAAAAAACGTTTAAAACAACTTCAGTCCTGTAGTTGAAAATGATGTGATTCTCTGGGCAGCTTTACTGTAGAAGAATTATTAGAAAGCCCCCTGGATGGGAAGTGAAACATCTTCAACTACAGAATAATAGTCCATTTGTTTCAAATATCCTTGCAACGATGCAGGAAATTCACAGTTCGGTTCAATACTTTAGTCTCACAGTTCGATATTTTTTTCGATACAAAATATAGAAATTTCTATGCCCCTTTTAACTTGTAATTTATTTACATTAATTATGAACATTCGTTTATCCTCAAAAGTACAGTTTTTAAATTAAATGTTGCTGAAACAGCAAGTTTCTCAGTGGATCTGCSCTCAAAAATACAGCCTTGGTGGAGTAGTCKAACACAGATCCACTGATCCTTTAATACAGAGCATCTTCAGAAGACAARCTGATAAAGTAAATTTTTTAAATCTGTATTGTTCGACACAGCACTGTTCGTTACGGGTACATGTTTTGTTGCACCCCTAATGTAGCTCAGCTGAGAGTTGTTCATAACTCATTGTTAGAGTGCTAACATTTTCTGCGACGCCTCGGGATCGCAAGACATTGCATCTGACATTGTTTACACGGTTTGACAAAAAACTGGCCACAGCTTCATTGTTTTTCAACACAAGATGATCTTAGTTTAAAATTTCTGGCATGAAAGTGGGAAGGCAATGTTTCCCTTCAAGGAATGCAGGACTTTTAATTTGTTTTTAACATTCAGTAAAACGCTAGCAGGCTCACACAAGTAATTAAAACAATCAGCCTGGTGGATGTGATACTTCTTGTGTTGATGCCAATGGTACATGATGTGAGGGAGCATGAGGAGATGTCGGCCTTCTTGTTAGCAAAATAAACAGCTTAAAGTGAGGGGAAATAAATAAGCTGACAAAGTCTTTGCTCTGCTTCTAAGAGGCAGGGATGTTGTTTAGTTGAATATCTTTGTTTCATCTGCCCGACTTATTGATTCTTTGTTTAACAAAGTTTTCTGTGAGATAGAACCTTTTGTCTCAACCATGGTTCTGATATATCAGTTACCAAATCATGTTGTGTTTTGAGAAATCTGTGTCGCTGTCCTTGGTACTGAAATAGAAGATGGATTTGTGACATTTTCTCTTTTTTTAACTTTCTCAGTGCTACTGTTCTTCTAATTTTAGATTTAATATTCTGTGAACTTTAAACAGTATATACTGTAATTATTTATTTCTTATACTGCTAGTCGTTTCTGTTTTAGGGTGTTGTGACCATCATACAGCAAATACAGAGTGTCTATGAGCAATCATGGAAGATTTAGAGAATCAGAGACTTGTGCCTCTTATAGGTTCTAGTTATTTCACTATGTTAATGCTGCCTGTTTTACACAGTTTTAACAAAGTTAGACAATGCATCTTCCTTCTGCTCTCTGGATATTACTCAGACTAAACTGTTTGAAAATTTGTTCTTTCCAGTTTCATTCTTACACTTGTTTAAAAGCTCTTCTGGGAGGACTCCAAGGCATTCCCAGACCAGCTCAGAAACATAGTCTGTCCAGTGTGTTCTGGGTCTTGCAAGGGATCTCCTCTCGGCTGGACTTGCCTCCCTAAAACCTCCCTAGGGTGGCGTCCTTACCAAATGCCTGAACCACWCTGGCATGTCTGGATGTGGAGAAGCAGTGACTACTCTTGAGTTTTTCCAAGAAAACTGAACTTCTCACCCTATTGCTAATAAAAAGTCTAGTTACCTTGTGGAGAAAACACATTTTGATGGCTTGTACCCACAATTTCATTCTCTTGATCACTATGTAAAAGTTTGTGAACTAAAGAGTTAGTCCAGAACTGTTCTGAGTGCTAATTAAAGAGTAACTTACCCCCAAATTAACATTTTTTAGCTGATAAACTGTCTAGAATGTGTCTAAAATGTTATATATTACTGTTTCTGTGCTGATTTTGATGTTTTTGTGCGTATTTGTTCAAATCGCTCTCCACAGTGACGTGCTTCTCCACGGCTTCGTCACAGCGGCTGTGTTCTGGTATAAAAGCCTCTCTCTAAGACACGCTCCTGCAGCAGTCAGAGGGTGGAACAGTTAGCAAGCTTAGCATGATCGTCTTTTGACCTACAGCCTCGGGTGGCGAGAGGAAATGACTGCTGCGCTTCTCTCTCTCTCCCCACACACACACACACACACACACA